TTAGCAAAACCTTACTCTGTGATGAAGCTCACTTTCAAACTTCTCTTTGAAGTTAAGGCCACAACGTATAGTAACATGCCGCTGACGGCCAGCCGAACTTTTTGTCACTATTATTCCAGTAAAATGCTTGATTCTTTTGCCTTACGTTTAATCCTGAAAATAGTGCTGGCATAATATGTAAAACCTTGATCTGAGTCCTCCTTAGAAGACTCGAGGTAAGAATTAATCTGTTGCCTTTGTACATGGATGCTCTTGACAGTTGCCTCTTGAGCTCTTTTTAGCTCAGTGTAGGCACCGTCCAATGGTACCTTTTTCCTTTTATAATCATCAGTGAGTAACTTTCTTTGGCTTTGTTTTTTGCAGCCTTAAACTTGGCCTGACATTCTTGTACTTCTGAATCTATCGATTCTACTGCCAAATGTGCTGCTGACGTTCTATCTAGCTTTTTTGGCAGTGTTTCTTTTTTTGGTTCCCGAGTTTGCGTTTCTTAGCACTTGAATCTGGATTATCAAGGAGTATCTTTGCATCTTCAATAACCTTTCCTGCACCTCCTTCTATTAGTGAAGTTTTTCTTAATATTTCCCAGGAGACATCAGTTATATCACTGATGGTAGTTTTGTCACATTCAGCTGTTTGAGGAGACAATGCCAACTGCTCCGCCTTCTCATTCCAAAATCTAATCTAATCTAAGCAGGTGCATATAAGGGAAAAATTATTATTCCCTTATATCTTCCTGCTGCTCTTGAAGATATTCTTTTGTGGAATCCCCAAGGGGATCCTTTCACAGCAGGTCACCCAATTGCTGTTTTGCTAGGTCGAAATTCTTACGGCTAAACACATCTTTTTATGACATCTTTGACATGTAAAACTGCAGCCTCCCTTCATCTACTGCGGATGGGAGTTGTTTTAGGAAAGCTGCAGTGTTTCCAGATTTTACAAACTTTCCAAAGCGCCCGTCTTGTAGTTTTACCATGGTTTGCTCAGTTTCCTCCTTTGTGGGACGGTAGTTTGCATTGAATTTGTTTCAGAATGTCCGCATGTTGACAACAGGGCCAGCATGATCCAGTACTTTTTTTTCCACTGACTGCATACTTCCAGTTGAGGACAGCGCTTTGGAATTGAGGCTGTGGTTTTAATGAAAAGAATCCAGACATGTTACTCTAAGAGTATGATCTGTTAGTGGTATCTACACTGTAACTAAGTTGAGATATTGCAGCATATGCTAATATTATTAAGCATAAAATTATATTGTTTTCTTTTTTACAGCTAACTGTCAATTTAAATATAACAAAACAAAATTACAGCGACTAGTAATGCCTCTTCTATTAATTGCAGAACAGCCATCACATTCTTCAGTGTAGTGGGCTTGTTCAATATCTCAGTTTTTCTGTTCCTAATTTGTTCTGAGATTTTTGGTTTTGGAAGTCAGGTGTGGATTAAAAGGCAATCTTTTAAATCATGCCGAAGTATGTTGTACCAAGTGATATTACAATATTGTTGAATTTTATGATAAAAAATTGAGCCTGCCAATTTGAAAGTAAACATTAAGTGTGTCCTTCAAGAAACTAGAGATAATAATCCTCCTTATACATAAGATTACCACAAGCAACTCAAGTGAAGCATGCACGATTTAAAAAATACTAATTTTAACTTCTCTACTTGAACCAGAGCAAAAATTTTGTCTAAGATTTTACTCCTTTTGCACGAAAAAGGAAAAGCATTAATTAAAGTTTTATACCTTGTAAAAAGACCTAATGGTAATCCATTTTTCATATAGCTGGGTATTTTGTACTTTATTTTGTACTCCACATGGTTTGTGTGCTATCCAGCAGGTTCTTATGAGAACAAATGATGTTCTCAGGTTTTTTAAAAGCAAGGCAGTTACAGTGGTCCTTTTCTCTTTGAACAACACCATGACTAAATAGCTTTTGCAGTTCACCTGAAAAGTGAACTGTCATTATAATAAAAAATGAGAAGAATCGTAATTACCACAAGCTCGTTTCGGCTGGGTCCCTCCCTCTTCAAATTTGAAGGTCTGATGAGAAATGTTGTGAAGGTCCCGAAGCTGCCTGAGTTTCTTGGGAGAATTCTCATACAGGTAATACAGGTGGAGCAAGACTTCATCTACAGCCGTACATTGTCAAAGCCGGTACCCTGTGATGCACATTTAAGGCAAAGCTTTAGGCGATGGGCAACACACTGACGTAGGTTTCTCAGGGTTGACGGCCATTATGAATTCTGATGACACCACCTTTCTCCCCAAATGATAGAAGTGAAACCAATTTCTTTTACAGAGTCTTCATGGTCAGAAATCGCATATATTTGAGCCCATGCAGCAGCATACGGCTTTTTCATGATAGCTGAGAAACTAATATGGCAGCCAAACATGCCTTTCCCAACGTGAAGTGTTAACAGCTTATTCTCTGTCATCGGGCATTTTGTACGACACAGCCAGAAAAAAAATTAAAAGAGGAAAACTTCACAATGTAGAAAGAATAATCGAGAGGCAAAAGACAAAATATGTAAGATTTTCAATGTGGTTGACTTTTAAAGTGTGACGATCTCTGACAGTGATTTGTTTGATATTCGTCTGAAGGAAGAAATCATTTGCTTTTGATTGTGTGAATTTTGTTGCTCTCACGTTAATTGATCTCTGGGGCTCAGGAAATGTATTTTAAAACAATGTGTCATGCATAACAGGACCACAAATACTAAATAAAATGGAGAGGCTTTTCCTGGAGACTCTTCGTGGGAGCCATCTGAAAACCTACATGAGGACTCAATTAGGTTAAACTATTTGTTTAAATTGTGTTGGTTGGTTATATACAATTTGCAACAGCAGCATTTGACTTTGTTTGAATTCCTTATATAATAATGATAATAATAATGGTTTATTAACAGGTCCACTGGGTGGCTCTTCCCTATTAAATTGCATCAATTACAATTACAAAATAAATCAAATTAAGTTATTTACAAATTGTGCATTGTACAATTAAAAGTAGAACCAGGATTAACAGAATCCAATTACAGTAAAACTAACTAATCACTCTGTACTCTGTTACTTACAAAATTCCTTGAAAATCTTAAAAAGGTTCTGCAATCTTTTACAGTTTCTAATAGTTTCTGGTAGATTATTCTTATTGAATTGCTCGAGCGCAGTTCCTTGGGGCATTCCTGTTTTATTATTTTAAGATAATCAGTCTCAGTGTTATGCAACGCTTTTTCAGGGGGTTCAAATCTCTTCTCTCATTGATTGGAAGCCATCCGATTTTAAGTACATCCTGAAAGTTCTTAACATAGTGACTGAGTACAAAAATTGCGGCCGCAAATTGAACCCATTGCAAACGGCGAAGTAAGAATTGTGGTAGAGGGTAAAAAACCAGATTGGCATAATCTAGTTTTGACAAAATCAATGCAAATACTTGTCTTGCAAATAATAGTTCCAAACGGGCCGGAACTGGTGATGTCGACCCGACCAACAGAAATTTCAGTCTGTGATGCTTGATAATATTTTAGGGTTTGAGAACTTTTTTTGTCAAGTGCGTGATAAAATCAAGGGGAACTCAGATGGTTGTAAAACCTTGTAACCTGACGCCACTAGGAAAAACATTGCGTATGCACGTGCAGCTGCTTTGTTATTGCATGACATTTTCTTCTAGGAAAACTCTTCTGCTCATATATGGGAAAACAAGTGATGCAAAAATCCTTTCATTCATTACAACGACTATAATTTACAAAAATATTAATAAGAAGTATGAATTGAACGTGCAAGCTGAATTCAACAACCCTAAAATGTTACTCACTGCAGCTTGATATACCATTATTGTTGCCATTTCCGAAACAAGCTAAATCGTGATGCTAAAATCGTTTTATTTATTACAACTATAAATTACAAAAACATATTTGTAAATACTTTGTTGAACTATCCTTAATAACAAGTATGAATTGAACAATCTAGATTAACAACCCTAAAAATGTTACTCATTGCATCTTGCTATAGTGTTATTGCTGCCATTTCTGATATATGTAATTAATATGCTAAGTTAAAATAACCCGCTAAGTGTCACACATCGCAGCTGGCTCTAAAATACTTCTCCCAAATTGCCTGTTGTACTGTTAACTTGTTAGTCCGACACTTAGTATTAATCTTGCCTTTAAAGGTCAAGTGAACCAAAAAACTGAAATATTTTCTTTTGTCGCTTTACCTTCACCAAACACTATATAGAAGCATCCTAAGTAAGATTTGGGTAAAGATTTTTCTTCCCAAGCCTTTATAGAAAGATAAAAGATCAAAATCCGAGCATTTTCGAAGACTTCACGAAAACGTTTCTCAAATGGCCGCGCGATTGACAGGAGGAAATGGAAACTAGTGACGTCAATGTTGGTCCGAGCATGGTCCGAGTAGCCATCATCTTTTTGCTGCGTGTTGTCTTCATTGGGTTTTGTTCTTGTTCCCATTTTTTGTCGCTTTTGCCCTGGTTTAACCATTTTTTAACTTTGAACATGGAAGTTGAGCTGTACCAGTTTGAACCAACTGTTTCAGAAGAAAAGTCTTCTGCTTCGGATGACTCAAGCGATGTATTCTTGGACGATGTCAACGAGGATCGAATTGGTCATGTGGAATGGTGAGCGTTTCGTTCATTCCCTCAGTTGTTTCTGGAAAATTGGCAATAAATACTGTTGAATTTAACTCCAGAAAGGTTTCTTGTTTTCAGTCTTCCATTTATTGTCTTTGTCGAACCACTTTTCACTATCCAATGCGTGAATGGGCGGAGTTTTTTATATTCGATGTTCGGACTGACTCATGTTTATGCTGTGTTTTGAATTGTTACATCAAAATGCCGGAAATTTTACTCTTTTGATACCGTTAGAGGTTGGTAACCCTAATGCCAGGCATCATGGGAAGGGGCTCGAGAGAGCGACGTTCTGTCATGGTGTTGAGTTGAGTTACTGTCTTGTTACTGTTGGAGCTCTCACCGAAACATGGTACCAGGAGTGTGAACAAACGCTGATTATTCTGCTGCTGTCGATCTGACTTTCTGTGATCTTGTTTTCTGTGAGTGTGGAATCTTGTCGATCGCTCAAACATACTGCCTGAGATCTTCGCGCCAAAACCCTGCAAAACCACGAGTTAAACATGTCGGAAGAAGGAGCCGAAGCTGCGGCCCCAGCTCAATTTCTTTACTGGTAATATCATGAACTTCGAGCGACCCAAGCTCGATTCCCGCCGGGAGAATCGGCTAGAAGCATTGAAAGCCTTCAAAAAGAAATGTGGTTACGTCTTCAAAGGAAGTCTTGTGAATATTTCGAATGAAAGAAAATGTATTTTGGTTCAAGATTGGTTTGGCCCTGAAGGTCAAAAGATATAGGACAGCTTGGACTGGTTTGAAGGTGAGGATGTAAACGACTATGATCTGATGTGGACTAAGTTGGAACGAGCGGTAAGTCCAGAATGTAGCGAGATTGTTGCTTCTAAGAATTTAAAGAACCAGTGCAGAAACCTGGAGAGACAATAACTGCTTTTGTCACTGACCTGCTGCTGTTAGTGAAAGACTGTCATTATTTAGACGAAGATAGACAAGTGAGAGATCAGTTTGTTTATGGTGTCTCTGATGGAGAACTAAAGAAAAGATTGCTAGAAAAAGGAAACACTCTCACAAGAGTTGAAGCTATTACAATTGGCAAGGCTTATGAAAGTACAAAGATTGAAGTCCAAGAGTGTAGTGCAAACCGAACTCCTGCAAAAGAGAGTATAAAAGCTGTTTCTAAAGATAAGCCCAAGAAAGTCCTCATGTGTATTTACTGTGCACACAAAGAGGGAGCTCATAGATTTTCAGACAAGAAACTCTGCCCCGCCTGGGGAGCAGTCTGCAGAAAATGTAAGGTCAAGAATCACTTTCAAGACTCGAAGGAGTGTAAACGCTTACAAAAAGGAAAACAGGAGAAACACTCAGATCCAAAACAATCAAAACCAACCTCAAAACCGTTTGTACTGAGAGTAAAAGAAGATGGTGGGGATCACTATTATGAAGTTCTTGACAAAATCTGTGTACTTAATCAAAACTGTGATCACAAAAAAGCTTTTGCAAACCTACTGCTGTCAAAGAAAAGAATTCCTGTAAGCTTTCAGATAGACTCTGGTTCAACATGTAGCATTCTCCCTGTGAATGTGTACAAAGACATCAGTGGAGATTATGATCTCGCTGACCTTAACACTGTAGTCAAGCCTGTTCTGTCGCTCTATGATAAAGAAACCAAAATTCAGACCCTGGGAACCAGAAAAAGTCTTTGTGCTAAATCTTGCAACCAGTGAAGAAATGATCATTCAGTTTAGAATTGTTGACAGAGACCTAACACCTCTGATCAGTCTAAATGACTCTGAAACACTCAAACTCGTTAAGCTCTTACGAGAGAATATTGCTGTGGTAGCCCCAGCTAACCCAAGTGTCCCTGTGACTGCCAGTGAATTGACAACACCACTCACCTTGGGGACCATTCTGACTAACTACCCTCAAGTCTTTGATGACAGTATAGGAAAGTTTGAGGGCGAGCTACATCTTCACACAAGTAATGATGTCACTCCTCACAAAACAGCTCCTAGAGAGATCCCTCTCTCTGTGAAGAACAACTTTATTGCTGAAGTAAAAGATCTCCAACAGCAAGGTATAATTGAAAAAGTGACTGAGCCTACCGAATGGGTAAGTGGTCCTACAATTGTAAACAAACCCTCTGCTAAGAATGGAATTAGACTCTGCATAGACAGCAGATCACTGAACACGGCACTCAAACGATCTGAGTACCCAATCCCAACTGTCGATCATCTGCTTACAGACATTAGCAATGCTAAAGTATTCTCTCTAGCTAATATCAAGACTGCTTTTTGGCATGTACCATTAGATGCAGAAAGCTCCTTGCTGACAACCTTTAATACCCCTCTTGGACGGATGAAATGGAAAAGAATGCCTTTTGGCATCGGTGTAGCACCTGAAGAACTTCAAAGCAGAATTGATGAGAATCTAGAAGGATTAGAAGGTGTAAAAGCCATAGCTGATGGCATATTGATCTGGAGAAAACACTGAGGAAGCAAGAGCTAGCCTTGACAAGAGATTGCTTGCCTTGTTGGAGCGATGCCAACAGAAGAATATTAAACTTAATAAGGAGAAGTTCCGGCTGAGTAAGACTGAGTTGTTCTACATGGGTGTGGTCCTTACAGACAAAGGAGTTAAACCTGACCCCAAGAAACAAGAATGTATTCAGTCAATGCCTGCCCCAACCAACAAAGATGAAGTCAGAAGACTACTTGGTGTTGTTACCTACCTGTCAAGATTTTCAGAAGACTTGTCAACCAAGTCAGAACCGATACGAGCTCTGCTGAAGAACAACACTGCGTTTATCTGGGAAGAAAATGAACAGAAAGCTTTTGATGAAATTAAGACTCTTATTCTGAATGCACCACTACTAAGATACTTCAATGTGGCTGAACAAGTTGAAGTCCAAGTGGATGCATCATCAAGTGGTTTAGGAGCCTGCCTCATGCAAGGCGGCCAGCCTATACAGTATGCCAAGACAAGACAAGAGAAGACTTGTTCATGAAGAGCAAAGCTTAACAGCAACTTCGCTGAAATTGCAGAAGCCACTGCACAGGATGCTGTCTTACAGTTTGTCATCGACCACATATCAATGGGCTGGAAACCAATAAAACGAAACGTTCCTGTTGAAATCTTACCGTATTGGAACATTAAGGATGAACTGTCCTTTAACGATGGAATTGTTTACAGGAGTGATCGCATCGTAGTCCCAGCAACACTCCGAAAGACTCTGATTATTAAATTACACCAAGCACATATGGGTACCGGGTCAACCCTTAGGCGTGCTAGAACTTCATTATGGTGGCCGGGAATGAACAATCAATTGAAACAGTTCATTGCTACAAGTGAAGTCTGCAATGCTTTTCAGACTAAGAACCAAAAAGAAACACTAATCAGTCATGAAATTCCTAACAGACCTTGGTCAAAAGTTGGATCTGACATTTTTGAATGGAACAAAGAACACTATCTTGTTCTAGTTGACTATTACAGTGACTGGATTGAATTTGACTTGACGAAAAACCAAACTGCATGTGAAACCGTTAATCTAATGCAANAGAAACACTAATCAGTCATGAAATTCCTAACAGACCTTGGTCAAAAGTTGGATCTGACATTTTTGAATGGAACAAAGAACACTATCTTGTTCTAGTTGACTATTACAGTGACTGGATTGAATTTGACTTGACGAAAAACCAAACTGCATGTGAAACCGTTAATCTAATGCAAAAACAATTTGCGAGATGCGGAATTCCTTACGAGATCGTCACAGACTGTGGTAAGAACTACGACTCAGTCGAGTTCTCGCAATTCTGCCAACGAAAGAAGATTAAACATACCATTTCTTCACCAAAGTAATGGAAAAGCTGAATCTGCTGTGAAGATTGTCAAAACTTTGCTGAGGAAAGCTGAGAAAACAAAATTGAGTCCGTACGAAGCATTACTTGACCAGCACAACACGCCTACTGCTGGCATGACAACATCTCCCGCACAAAGATTCCTAAACCGTCGAACAAGAACTGAAGTACCTATTAAAGCGACATTACTGACACCTGAGATTGCAGAAACAGTGTTAGAAGAGACACCAGAAATCTCAAGCCTATTATGACCGCACTGCTAAAGACCTAAATGAATTAAGGCCTGGAGATACCGTTAGAGTCAGGCCTGAAGGTCTGTTGAAAGGACAAGAGTGGAAGAAAGGAACTGTCTCACAGAACTGTGCATACCGTTCATACGATGTTAATGTGGATGGTAAACTGCTCAGAAGAAACCGTGTACATCTTAAGGAAGATCAGCAAGTCAAAGTTACGGAATCTTCCTCGAAATCTGCAGAACAAAAACTGACAGCCGAAGACCTACCTGTCGCTGTTGTTGAAAAGAATGGAAAAAAAGTCAAACCACTAAAAGACACTGCAAAGGCTGCAGAACCTGCTAAATGCACTAAGATGGACCTTATTACTGTTAAACGTACACGTTCGGGACGCTTAGTGAAAATGCCGCAAAGATACTCTAGCTAATCGTAAAATTGTAAATTTTACTGGGGGGAAGGTGTTAGAGGGTGGTAACCCTAATGCTAGGCATCATGGGAAGGGTCTTGAGAGAGCGATGTTGTCATGGCGTTGAGTTGAGTTACTGTCTTGTTACTGTCAGAGCTCTCACCGAAACAGATACAATTTTGTCATGAACAATCGTAAACTCTTAATATAGGTGTATTTGTGGACACTGCGTACCCATGCACACTGGGCGGGAGAACGAGAATTTCAATGCTGTGTGCACGAATCCAGCTGTTATTGAAACAGCGTTTAATCAGTGTTTAGAAAATGAAGGCCCAATAGATGATGAGCCTCTGAATGAGTATGTATGCATCACATTGTTATAATTTTGCTTTGAATTTATTTGTGTCTTCTACATGTACTAAACATCCAAGCCATCTGGGGATTTACTGCGTAAAAGATCAGTATTTTTAAGTTAGTGTGATCTAAATGTGGATACTGTGGGAGTTAGGTCTTGTCTGAAGGATAGATAAGTCGTTTTACTGTCAGAAGGATGTTGGTTTCCGTTTGCAGGCTGCTGCTAAGTACATGTATAATGACATCACCCAAGTATAATTCTTCCCAAGATGTAATACTCCCTGCCTTTGTGGTCTTTACGTATCATAATTAATGTTCAATTGCAGTAGCTTGCTTTGAATTTATTTCTGCATTACATTGGGATGACTTCTTCTGTCTTTCCTTGTTAGTACCTACAGATATGTTGCCTACAGGCAATACACATATTGGATTCACAAGAAGCTGGGTAGGAAAATCAGAATCCCAACCCAAATAAGAGAGAGTTTTCCAAGTGAAGGTGGAAACTATAGGGGCTTTGAATATGCTCATTAACTGTCGATGTTGTATATTGTTAACTTCCCAAAA